CACCAGCCCTGGTGTATATGGCCAGCACCCTAACCACTGAAAAAGTGCCGAGCCAAAAACAATCTTTAATCATTTGAAAAGCTATTGCTTCAGAGATCCAAAGTAGAACCAGCGTTGTTACTAGCGTGTGGGTCTCATTCAAAATGAGAGGAGTTCTATAACTTAGAAGTATCTCAAATGAAATGGGCTGCATTTATTTATTTTTTATTTTATTATTTTCTTTTTTTGAGACAGAGTCTCAAACTGTCACCCTGAGTAGAGTGCCGTGGCGTCACAGCTCATAGCAACCTCAAACTCTTGGGCTTAAGTGATTCTCTTGCCTCAGCCTCCGAAGTAGCTAGGACTACAGGTGCCCGCCACAATGGAGGTTGCTGTGAGCTGTGATGTCACAGCATTCTACTGAGGGTGACACAGCAAGACTCTGTCTCAAAAACAAAAACAAAACAAAAAACCAAAGAAGGGTTGAGGAGGACCAAATAACTCTTTATTAACTATGCAGGATATTATGCTGCACCTAGTGATATTAGTTATTATCATTAACTTCATGTGATGATAAATGAGGCATGAAGAAAGGTTAAAGGTTTTGTTTTTGTCTGAGGCGAGATGAAGCAGAACTAAGACTGGTACCCAATCTTGCTTGTTTCTAAAGCAGTGGTTTTCAACTTGTGGGTTGCGACCCCTTTGTAACAATGAAAATATATCACAGCATCAGGAAGGTTGAGAACCACTGTTCTTTTTTTAAAGACAAGAATCTCACTTTATCGCCCTCGATAGGGTGCCACGGTGTCACAGCTCACAGCAACCTCCAATTCCTGGGCTTAGGCAATTCTCTTGCTTTAGCCTCCCAAGTAGCTGGGATTACAGGCACCTGCCACAATGCCCAGCTATTTTTTGTTGCAGTTTGGACAAGGCCAGGTTTGAACCCACCACCCTTGGTATATGGGGTCGGTGCCCTACCCACTGAGTCACAGGTGCCACCCGAGAACCACTGTTCTAAAGCTCATAGCACTATAATAAAAGTCCACAAGTAGTTAAGTGCTACAGTTACAGAAAAAATTTGCTCAACAGACTAAGCTACTCAGGATAGGTAGACCACCAGCAGGCCTAGGTATAAGAACAATGGAATCTGCTTTTCTAAGCACATATCACAGTCCAAATGGAGAAAGACATTTCCCCAACTTCTGATAAAGCTAGTTAAATGTTGAGATTAGATTCTCTGCATTCAGAAATGTCCTCCTGTATTTCCTAGCCATTAATGTGACCAGTATCAAACTTAGGGACTGCTGGGTACCCCAAACCATGCTTAGTAGATCTCAGGGGCTCCTGGCTGAGGCAGGTTTGGAAGATGAAGAAATTCCAAGAAGCTAAAGTTCACTGCCAAAGGTTCTATGTGCCTTCAGTTTACCTAGTTAGAGCTTTTCTCCTCAGCGTCATCCTATTGCCAATAACTCAAAGCAGAGGGAAAAATCAGCCAGTTAGTTGCCCGATGGCTTTAAGCCAACAGGAAGTTTCACTGTTGTCACAGTTCCCAACTACACAAACAAGAGAGTTAAATTTAGGCAAAGTGTTCTTAGGAAAAGACCACTAATACTTACTACGGATATAGCACCGAATTGGTTGGCCTTTACATATATGTATTAGGACTCTTTGCTTTGCCAGCTGTGAGCTGTGCCTTACCACTATTTTCCTTTCCCAGATGTGGAAATAAGCGATTTGTTTTAGGTCACTAAGCAAAAGACCAGTTATAGATTCTACTCTAGGTTTGTCAGGCTCCATGTCCTTTCTATAATACCATAACATCACTATGAAAGGTCATCTATGGGCTTGGTGCCTGTGGCTCAAGTGGCTAAGGCTCCAGCCATATACACCTAAGGTGGCGGGTTCGAATCCAGCCCAGGCCTGCCAAACAACAATGACGGCTGCAACCAAAAAATAGCTGGGCATTGTGGCGGGCGCCTGTGGTCCCAGATACTTGGGAGGCTGAGGCAGGAGACTCGCTTAAGCCCAGGAGTTGGAGGTTGCTGTGAGCTGTGATGCTATGGCACTCTACCCAGGGGGACAGTTTGAGGCTCTGTCTCCAAAAAAAAAAAGAAAGAAAGGTCATCTAAGGCGGCACTATCGCTCAGTAGGTAGAGCACTGGCCACATACACTGAGGCTGGAGGGTTCAAACTTGGTCCGGGCTAGCTAAACAACAATGGCAACAAAAAAATATCCAGGCATTGTGGTGGGCACTTGTAGTCCTAACTACCCAGGAGGCTGAGGCAAGAGAATTGCTTAAGCCCCAAAGTTTGAGGTTGCTGTGAGTTGTGATGCCATAGTACTCTACTGAGAGTGACATAATGAGACTGTCTGAAAAAAAGGTCATCTGAGTATGAGAACTACCCTTTCCCTAGATTAAGGGCAGTGCAGTACAGGGTTAAGATGACAGGTTCTCAGGCTTGGCATCTGTAGCACGGTGAGTAGGGCAGCCAACACATACCCAGCCAGGGCCTACTAAACAACTGCAACAACAACAACAACAAAAATAGCTAGGCAATGGTGTTGTGGCAGGCACCTGTAGTCTCAGCTAATTGGGAAGCTGAGGCAAGAGAATCGCTTAAGCCCAAGAGTTTGAGGTTGCTGTGAGCTGTGACACCAGGGCATTCTACTGAGGGCGACATACTAAGACTCTTTAAAAAAAAAAAAAAAGAATTTGGACTTGATTATTAGCGATTAGCCATACTAATTACGTGACCCTGGGAAGTTACTTAACCTCATTAAGTCCTGATTACTTCTTCCATAAAATAGACATTACTGGACAGTTGTTCTTTGGCTTCCAGTATCTCTTTCCTTTTTTCCAAGTGTTATAAGTTTATTGAAGGCACAAGGGGTACAAGAAAACCCTGGGTGTCCGGGATGAGGCCTGGCATCTGCCTGAACAATGGCCTCGCAGGTGGCAGGGGACAGAGTCTCCACAACCTGGGTTTACTTCAAAGTGTGACTCTGAGCTCCACCCCACCCAAAGCCTTTGGGATCGAACATGCAGGAGTAGCAAGGGTGGTTGCAATAGGGCTTGCCTTCATGCTCAGAATGACCCCTCAGAGGTCAACGTCTTTCCACATTTCTCACTTAAGGCAGGGTCAGTGCCAGCTCTTGCCCAGAGAGGTCACCTACTCAGCAAACTACACCTCCTTGTGGCACTTAGGACACTTGGGCATGGCAGCACGGGGTCCAGAGCAGGCGTCTGTGATAGGGCAGGAACTGGCAGTTAGCACGAGACTTTTTTTTTTTTGAGACAGAGCCTCAAGCTCTGGGTAGAGTGCCATGGCATTACAGCTCACAGCAACCTCCAACTGCTGGGCTCAAGCGAGTCTCCTGCCTCAGCCTCCCAAGTAGCTGGGACCACAGGCGCCTGCCACAACACCTGGCTATTTTTTGGTTGCAGCTGTCATTATTGTTTGACGGGCCCTGGCTGGATTCGAACCCGCCACCTTAGGTGTATGTGGCTAGTGCCTTAGCCACTTGACCCACAGGTGCCGAGCTGAGACTTTTTTTTTTTTTTTGAGACAGAGTCTCACTTTATCATCCCTGGTAGAGTGCCGTGGTGTCACAGCTCACAGCAACCTTCAACTCCTGGGCTTAGGCAGTTCTCTTGCCTCAGCCTCGTGAGTAACCGTGAGTACAGGCACCTGCCACAACACTTGGCTATTTTTTGTTGCAGTTTGGCCAGGGCTGGGTTCGAACACACCACCCTTGGTATATGGGACCAGCGTGCCCTACCCTCTGAACCACAGGTGCTGCCCCCCTTTCCCTTTCCTACTAACACCCCAACTTCCTTTTGAGGAATTAGTTTCTTACTAAATACTGATAAAGTAAAGGCATAAAATTCAAGCTAATCATCAATTCTCTCCCTAGAATTTGAACCTTGAGGGAGGAAAAAAAGTTTACCTATTCTTCCCTGCCCCCCCAACCAGGTCTCAAGCTGTTGCCCTGGGTAGAGTGCCATGACATCACAGCTCACAGCAACCTCAAAACTCTTGGGCTTAAGTGAGATTCTCTTGCCTCAGCCTCCCAAATAGCTGGGACTACAGGTGCCCACTACAACGCCAATGCCTGGATATTCTTTTGTTGTTGTTGCAGTCATTATTGTCATTTTAGGTGGCCCGAGCCAGGTTTGAACCCACCAGCCTCAGTGAATGTGGCCGACGCCCTACCCATTGAACTACTGGTGCTGCCTGGAGTTTACCTATTCTAGTAGCAGTGCCAAGCACTATTATTGGCAGCTAGTTCTTGCTTCAAGATCATTCCTGTATCTACCACTGCTATCCCAGTTTTCTGTAGCTACTATGGTTCCCATGCCAGGTTTTCTAGCTTTTGTACTAAATCTCTGAGCCCTTAATATGTTTCTAATAAAGTCCATCATTTTATTTACATCGGCCACTTTGCTGCTTATAACCAATCAACACCAAATCAAACACTACCTCATCAGGTTACCAACAGGATAAGTAGAGTGGGATTCAATAGGTAAGTTGACATAATCTGGTCGATCAACCATTAGAAGTAAATTCAGGCTTGGCGCCTGTGGCTCAAGCGGCTAAGGCGCCAGTCACATACACCTAAGGTGGTGGGTTCGAATCCCCAGCCCAGGCCCGCCAAACAACAATGATGGCTGAAACCAAAAAATGGGCAGGTGTTGTGGTGGGCGCCTGTAGTCCCAGCTACTTGGGAGGCTGAGGCAGGAGACTCGCTTGAGCCCAGGAGTTGGAGGTTGCTGTGAGCATGATGCCATGGCACTCTACCCTGGGGGATAGCTTGAGGCTCCGTCTCGGGGGAAAAAAAAAAAAGTAAATTCAATAAGGATTGTAAACCATCATATAAATACAAGACATGTAAAAGATGGTACAGCTGACTGTAGGAAAAAGTAGCCCACTGACCACTTTCCAGGTTACCTCCTGGCAAAACTGTTCTACAGTCATGATGAAAGGCCCACAGTCCTTAACAGAAAGCTACCTTAACATACCTGACATGGGTCTTCAATACCCATTCTATTCCAGGAAATGCCTCAGGAGTTTTCTAGTACCTGAAAATGGAGAAATAAAAGATCAGTCTTTAGAAGAGGAAGTTTTGAAGACATACAAAATAAAAGATAAAGAGATCCTGCATGCAGTTTATACATTACAGGAGAGAGACATGCAACTTTCAAGAAATTTTAAGTAACATTTCATTGTGAATATCAATATGGGGACCTACAGGGACTCATCCTTATACATTTTAAAATAGCTGAGCAAAAAGCTTTACTTTAGGGTGCAGCAGGTCTAATCTACAGTCATTGAAATTTTACAATGTGTCATTTAAGATTCAGACTTTGTGCCCAGGTTACATTACAGTTCACTTGTGATGGGCAGGATTATTAAGAGTTATGGCTAATTTATGCGGCAGCATATGTTTTTTTCTTTTTACAGCTATTTTTATTAAACAAGTTTTGCAAAGTTTTAACATTAAAATTAACAGCTAAAGAACTGTTTATGCAAGTTGCTGTCACAGTTTATGTAAAAGAGAAATATGTGCTATTAAAATCAGACATTTAGGTTACCTTTGGTTTTTTGCGATGCATGTTAGCTTTACACATCCTGATTCTCTTGCGATAATTTTCCTTTAAAAAGGGGGGTATAGAGTGATCTCTTTTCATCAAAACAAGACATAATGCCCTGAAAGCTGACTTCAAACCATGGTTGAAAATTCAGTTATTTACACTTTATCACAATCTACAAATAACATTTTTTTTGTTGGTGTGTTTTAAAAAGAAAAAAAAAATGTCCATCATGCACTGCTGCAGGCAGCTTGGCACTTCATACAAGAGGATTTTTCACCCCCGAGCAGTTTAGGTAGCTCTCTTAGGGAAGGTACGAGAACCCTGAGAATTAACATGGAGTAGAAATGGGGCCAATTCCATCATTTCCTCATTTCCTTTCTTAGTCTCTTAGGAGGGAATTCAGAGCCAGCCTATCATGCCAGATCCTGCCCCAGCCGAGTTTTTAGCAGCATTCCTGGGTTTGGAAAGGAAACCCTTACGAGCACCCAAGATTTGCTCAATTGTCATATTTAAGACAAGTGCTATCCCTTTTTAAGTTTGCAGAAATTATTTCATGTCACCCTTTAGGGCCATCTATGAGCCCTAAGAAAGGTACAAACTAGGACAGCTGGCACTTTAAATACCGAGACCTATGTACGGAAACCAATCCAAGTTTCAACTCAATTGGGTTTTTCTCTCCAGAAATTAGAACTTTGGATAGGATTTGGATACAAGTGCTGTCAATAACTTCCAGGGGGTGAAAAAGCTTTGGTTATTTTTAAAACTAAAACTTAACAACTTCATAAACTTTTTTTTGGTAAACTTAAAATAAAATCCCCCCCACCACTTTTAAGAATGTCTCCAATTTTTAACAAGCCCATTAACTTTAGAGTTAATTTAAGTTTATTTGAAAGAGAAAACTATTTTATTGTCCACCCAAAAAAATGACAATTCATCACATTTACTTTGATTAAAAAAGGACTAAACTTTATTGACAAACTGCTGCAGACATTTTGACATAAGTTTAAGCTACCTATTTAGGCAGACTTAACACATGTAGCATTTAATTTCCGAGAACAAAATGGGAGGACGGTACAAATCCAATTAGGACTTTAACTTATGTACAAAGTGGATTTTGATTCCTTTTTCATTCAGCTGCAGTGTCCCTTTTTATATCATGCTAGTGTTGAGACATACTTGACTGACTAACTTGGGAATAGTTCAATATACAGGTGTCAACTTAAGAAAATCATCAGCTTTTGGCCTCAGTGTCCAAGTGAGCTTTTTGTGGAGTGCAGAATCTCAGATGGACAAAATACTTGTCTTCTTAAATACTGAAATTTTAACTGTTAGTAGTATGACTGAAAGACTGTGGCTAAAAAGCTCTGTATCAAAATCAATGCAGGTGGCCATCCCCGTGCCCCCAGTCAACCTTTTCAAAACCTATTCCCCCTCCCCCTAAGTATCTCTCAACACTGTATGTCTGGGGCTAGATTTCAAAACCCACGTAATGAAAAAGTCAGTTTTACAAGCCTAATTTTGTTGCTTTTTTTTAAAATATCAATTAACGTTAAAAAATTGCATCGACTATTTAATTCATGAGGATCTTTCGTATTAAAATTTAGCCTTAAGATTCAACCGCCATGTGTTTTTAAAGGAAACATTTCTTTTTAGAGACGTCTGAGCTCACTTTTACATGGTGGTGCCTACTGCCGTTAACATTTGTGATTTTAAATCTTAAACAGCCCTGAATTTTGAAATGTAGCCTAGTTTGGGATTCTGCAACTACAACTTTACGGGATGCCTCAAATCAAAACTAAGAGAAAGTTAACAAGTCTTTACTTCAGAACCTTTAAGCAAGCAATGTCATTTTTGAAACTAACAGGTTTGTGGATTTTTTTTTTTTTTACTCAACTTTTTATTATAAAAGGTACACTTCTGTTTATATTTAAACAACAAAGGAAAAAAGCATCTACACACTTAAAAAATTAATTCGATATTCCTAAATCTATTTGAACTCATTTTAAAATACTACATACAGAAGCCAGAATGCAGAGTTAAGAATGGAATAAGGTGGGGAGAAGAAGGGGATCACGAAGAAAAACACTTAGACAATTACTTGTCTGTTGTGGGTAAAGCAACAGGAATCCTGGGAGATACAAGAAATCAGTAACAACTTTGCTCATAACTGATATTTTCCCCTCATGTTTGTTTTTAATAACGTCCATATGGGTGCTCTCTGTATGCTCCCTTCACTGGCCTAGCTGGAGGGGCCTTCAGCGATGGCCTTGTCCCATTCCAGTCGTCCTGGCCTGTGGGAAAAGACAGTTAGATCACATGGTAAAAAATCACCAAAACCACTACTTCTCCCCCCCCCCC